TGGGCTTCCCCGTCTCCGGGTTTATCATAAGCCGGAATTTTGTCACCGTCCCTGCAGAACTGAGTATATCCTTCACCTGTTCCTCCGTAAGATCTAAGATATCAAACCCGTCAGCGCGAGATGCTGGAAGCTAAAGAGAAATCGAGGGAGCGAGGCCAAATACTCACTGTACGGGATATTCCCGAGGAACACGCTCTTTCCTGACCGTTCTGGAGCCATCTTCTCGTCTTTCTACAGTGCGCCAAACCAACAGAGTCCGAGGAGCAGCCGTTTCCTGGAGTCCCGCCGCGTTGTCTTGTCGATGGTTGTTTTTTGCTTGCGTCGCGCAAGAAGTTCGACTTCTGGTCGTCTGTCCAAGCTTCCCCGATCGGGACTAGCGCGCGTCCTTGCTAAACTTCTTCACTTTCTCCAGACTCTGAAAGCAGCAGCAGAAGCAGATACAAGAAGGACGGACTGAAAGGAAAACCAGCAACGCCTTTGGTCTTTCTCGCTTTTATATCAGAACACCATGGCAGACCCCCGCGAGACCTGGCAGAAGCTGCAGACCGCTATCCAGCAGCAGGGAAGGAGAGGGTTCGGCGCTGGCGGACCGCCTGGCGGAAAAGCCATTGGTGGTATCGGAGCCTTGATTGCGCTGGGACTTGGGGGTTACGTGCTCTCAAATTCTCTGTTTAACGGTATGTTCCGCCGATTGAGAGGTATTTTGTCGAATACGGGCTGATTGCGACATGTGGTGCAGTCGACGGTGGTCACCGAGCAATCAAATACACAAGAATAGGTGGTGTGAAGAAAGAGATATACAATGAAGGTAAGCAAGCTCTCATGGCGCTTCAATATACAATATATCCATGCTAATATGCCATAAGGAACACATTTTCAAATCCCATGGTTTGAGACTCCTATAATTTACGATGTCCGAGCGAAACCGCGCAATGTTGCGTCTCTTACAGGCACCAAGGATCTGCAGATGGTCAATATAACCTGCCGTGTGCTATCACGACCGCGAGTCGAGGCTCTTCCACAGATTTACCGTACCCTCGGAACTGACTTTGACGAGAGAGTTCTTCCATCCATTGTTAACGAGGTTTTGAAGAGTGTGGTGGCCCAATTCAACGCTAGTCAGCTTATCACACAGCGAGAGAGCGTTGCTCGTCTTGTACGAGAAAATTTGGCCAGACGTGCGGCACGCTTCAATATAATGCTTGATGACGTTTCTCTAACGGTATGGTTTACCTCATTTCATATTTTTTTTTTTTCTCTGACTGGATTAATCTAACTGTTTTTAAAGCATCTTGCCTTCTCTCCCGAGTTCACTGCCGCCGTTGAAGCCAAACAAGTTGCCCAACAGGAGGCCCAGAGAGCCGCCTTCATTGTTGACAAGGCTCGCCAGGAGAAACAGGCCACTGTTGTCAGAGCACAGGGTGAGGCTCGATCTGCCCAGCTTATCGGAGACGCCATCAAGAAGAGCAAGAGTTATGTTGAACTACGAAAGATCGAGAACGCCAGAAATATCGCCCACATCCTTCAGGAAGCTGGTGGAAAGAACAAGATGTACCTTGATTCTGAAGGTCTGGGCCTGAATGTTACAGCTCACGGTGATTCGTCTGATTAAGTTCTTGGGCATGGCACAGTCTCCTGAAGCCTCTGCATAGCTGGTCTGCGGCGTTCATCAGAGGTAAGGGAGGAAGTTTGGTTTCGTTTTAAGCTTGTGTATAAATACCTGTACCACTTTATTCTACTCTACTACATGTTCAAAATCTCCTCAATCTCCTGTAATACAGCTGCATGAATACGACAGATATGTCTTGAGGCAGACAATCCTGTTTGCTTTTGTAATCATTTACCTTATGAGAGAAGTAGATTAGGTGCGGGCTTAACGTTACACTCCTTTTCATAAGCCAACTACCAAAACCTTTCAACCTCATGCCGGGGTTTTTTGAATATTGGGCCACTTGACCACTTTCACTGCAAAGGAAAACTGGATGATACCCTTACTGCAGTCAGCGACAATTAGCCAATGGGATATTTATAAGAGGTGTCAAAATAATACTCGTGTCCCACCAAATATATCCCCAGCCTTGCACCAAATCACGCGCTGAAAAGTTATACCCATGTTACAGCGGTCCAGGAGATATAAATACGGAAAGATGACCAGTACTCCAAATATCTCTAGCTGCGTTGTTGTTTGGACGGAAGTGCCACCTCTGCTTATCCTGTTTATACCCGCAGCAGCCTCAGCAGGTCTGTTGTCCTTACAAGATGGTGGAAGCAGCTGGGCTTGTCCTTGGAATAAATAGCAATCATATGAAAACAAGGGTTAAAATTTTTGATGTGATCGATTGCGGTAAAAAAATGCGGATCTCGACTCCAGGATAGATATGGGCTGCAACAGTGCTAGAGGAACATGGCGATACGCTGAGCCTAGTCTCGCCGAACAAACCTGGGCCCCCTTTTGAGTCCTTTTTAGAGTGTATCAAATCTTCGGTTCACTGTGAATGAACGCCAGATTCGTGCATCGATTAAAAAGGCAGCTTGGGCAATCCACGATAAGAAGAAATTTCAGACGTGGTCTCGCCACCGGCACGCAGACCAGGACCCCACAGAGAGCAACATAAAGTCCACTTTAGAGAACTGCATCGGTTCCCGCGACAGCATTTTTATAATGTAACAAGATTGGGAGAGACTCGAGCACGCCGTCTGAAGAAGATACCATTGATATAATGGTTATTAATGCCACGGGTACCGGAGATGCCGGGGTGCTTGCTAGAGCATAATGTGCAGAGAGAGGGAAAAAATACAATTATAAGGAAGGCCGGAGGTCCTTGTTATACTTGTGCTGTCCGAGCAGCGAGTAAGGGGGCTTTTGGGGTGGGGGTATTGATATGGGTTTCTTAGTATATTCAGGTGTTTCAGTGAAGTAGCTTAAGTATGAAGTTTAACCTCAGACTACCAGCATATAATGAGATCAGAATCGTAGATAAGACAAACTATTTACAGCTAGCAAATAGTTGTTTATATGTGAGGTTGAAATAAAGTTGACTATTTGGACGCTGAACACTTTTTTCGCTCGATCGCCGAGTGGTGGAAATATAACCCAAATTTTTAATTCAACAACGAAAAAATCTACACAAGCATCAACCTCTACCATAATACTAATTGGTAATATTGGCTCTCGAAAATGGAAGACCCAAGTGATGCAGCCATTGGCTCTATTGATGTCGATCTTGATACCCAGGAGATACTGCTGGCCGCATCACAGCACGATGTTGCAAAACTGCGCGAGCTTATCCGCAGCAATGAAAAGGACGAGAACCCCGCCAACGCAAAAGACCCAGAGACGGGATATACGCCTTTGCATGCAGCTATAGCAGCATGTGAACCTGAAAAGACCAATGTCACAAATGGCGATACAGGCGAGCATACGACAAGTGAACAGGAGACGATAGAAGGCGGGGTGAAGACCGTGAAATTTTTGCTTCTGGAAGGAGCTATATGGAACGATCTGGATGCCAATGACGAAACCCCCGGGTGTATGGCCAGAAGGCTCGGGCTTACGGAGTTGTACCAGCTAATGGTTGATGCTGGCGTGCGCGCAGAGCTGTTATTGAACCGGTTGGAGGGGTACGAGCAGCTAGAAGACGAGGATGAAGAAACTGAGACTACAGAAGAGAAAGAGGCGGAGGATGATGCAGCTGAAGGTGAAAAGCCGGCTGAGGCTGCTGATGCGACGGCTGGAGAAGCGGTTGTCCAAGATCCAAGTGTCAGTAATGAGCATTACCTGAATTCTGGATTGACATTCCAGGAGAATAGGCTGCTAGATGGAGATAAGAACGGAGTGATGATGGCGTGGGAAACCGGTATAATGGAGAAGTCAGCCAAAGCCTTACTCCCTACGCCAGGACTTAGAGTGTTGAATGTCGGACACGGCATGGGAATCGTTGACGGAATTCTTCAGACTCTGCAACCAAGTGCCCACCATATCATTGAGGCACATCCAGCTGTGGTAGCAGATATGAAGAGCAAGGGATGGCATGAAAAGGAGGGGGTGACAGTACACGAAGGCAGGTGGCAAGACATCCTACCCAAACTCGCTGCTGAGGGAGTGATGTTTGACGCCATCTACTATGATACCTTTGCTGAGTCGTACTCGGACTTCCGCGACTTTGCTTCAGAGCATGTGATAGCATTGCTCGAGCCGGAGGGGCGATGGAGTTTCTTCAACGGCATGGGAGCTGACAGGCAGATCAGCTATGATGTGTACCAGAAGGTGGTGGAGATGGACCTGATGGAGGCTGGATTTGATATCGACTGGACGGACATTGCAGTGCCCTCACTGGAGGGCGAGTGGGAGGGCGTCAGGAGGAAGTACTGGGTCGTCGATAACTACAGACTGCCCTTGTGTAGATACTCTGATTAAATCGTTGTTTATAGCCATCGAAGGTTGCTTCCTCCAGCGTCTTTTAGGGCTCCTACCCTGCTCTTCTGGTGAACAGGAAGTAGGCGCCTTTCCTCACATCAAGTCAGCCCGGCTAGCTCAATCGGTAGAGCGTGTGACTCTTATACTCTTATAGCAAGTTTATAACGGTTGGCCATCACAAGGCTGCGGGTTCGAGCCCCGCGTTGGGCTTCCTTTTTTTTTTTTCCTTTTGTTTTTCATTTTAATGTATATTTTTTTTTTCTCTGTTTTATCTTGCTAATATTTTCTAGCTATGGGCTTCTATTATTTCCATTAGAAGAATTTTTTATTCTGATCGTTTTTTTTTCCAGACACTTTTCATCGTCTGGAGGTCATTTTTTTTGCGTGTGTGCGCTTGTTGGCGCGCGCTTACCTAATAAAACCACTTAACGCGCTTCGCGTCCCAAAGAAGAAACGCGACGATTTCGCATCAAACAAAATCTTTTGAACCGCCCGGCTTTCTTCGCCAGCGAAAGCACCAACCACATCGTCACGACCGGAATGACTTCATGTTGAACGTCCTTTACTGTTATCGTAATTGATCATGTCTACTCCTTCGTCGTCTCGTCGTCGTGGACGTCCCTCGCGGTCGTCTGCTAACTCTACTCCGTCCAGGGGCACTGCGCAACCGCAGGTGGTTATCTCCAGCCCCGCCCCTTCTCGCCAGACTCAGGACAATTCAGACCAGACCACGACGCCTCGCAACCGGAGAGTAGCTGACAATGGGATCCCTTCTTCATCGCCTATTTTCTTCCAGTCGTCTCCAGCCGGGGCCGGGCCTGCAGCCAATGCCGCGCCAGACCGAAGCTCCCCGATGCCGTCTTCTCCTCTAGGCGATCGTGACACTACTCCACGGCCTACTCGCCCATTAGTTGAAGGTTTGTCCTGCCGACTATGTGAAGTGTTGTATAGCTGTACTAATTCCTGCATAGACTCTTCGCCTATAAGGTACATGTCGAGTTCCAGTCCAGGACGACCAGGAAACAGTCAAGCCCGACGGAATGATATACCCACCAGTAGCAGTGGCTTATTTATCCGTTCTTCTAACCCCAATGGCATTACTACACGAAGAGGCGATATCCATTCAGATACGTTCTCTACCACCGGTTCCGGGCGCAGGACACTGTTTGTTGACGAAAGCGGTCTGCCAGTCCGCAACCGTGAGCCGCTGTCTGATGCTACATTCTCCAATCTCAACCCCGACACATCGGAGGCAGAAATTCTAGGAGGGAATTCCACACGAGTAATATGGGGTACAAATATAGCCGTCTCAGATACTATGTCATCATTCAGAAACTTCCTTTACAACTTTGCTAGGAAACACCGTATGATCTACGACGGTGCCACTGAATCTGAAATCCGTGCACTAGGCTCTTCGGCCGATGAGAAGGAATATGTCAGGATGCTGAACGAAATGCGACAGCTTGGTATCACTGGCCTCAACCTTGACCTCCGAAATCTCAAGGCCTTTCCGCCCACCACCAAACTATGGCATCAAGTTCAATCTTACCCTCAGGAAATAATCCCAATGATGGATCAATGCATCAAGGATGTCATGGTTGGGTTAGCTGGGGAAGAGATAGAGCGTGCACGGCAAAGAAATCAGCGAAGACCAGCGGCAGCTGCGAGAGATGCTAGCTCTATTCCTGCATTTCCTAGCTCAGACGCCGATGGAAATGGAAACGCCCCTGCTCAACAGGATTTGTCTAGTATTCTGGCAGATATTGAAAGCAGAACATACAAGGTCTTTCCGTTTGGCTTGGATAAGTCTATAAACATGAGAGATTTGGATCCGGGTGGTATGTTCCAGCTTTTTCCCTACAGATGTTACTCCTATATCTGACCATCAATAGACCTGGACCGCCTTATAAGTGTAAAGGGCCTTGTCATTCGAGCAACTCCCGTCATACCGGATATGAAAGAAGGTATATATTATTCTATCCATTTTACCGTAAACTCCTAATATTAACAAACTTTGCAGCATTTTTCCGATGCGATGTATGTTTCCACTGTGTCAGAGTTAACATCGATCGGGGAAAAATTGCCGAACCTACGCGCTGCCCACGACAGCTTTGTGATGCACAGAACTCAATGCAGTTAATCCATAACCGCTGCATATTTGCCGACAAACAAATCATACGTCTCCAAGAAACACCAGACTCGATCCCAGATGGCCAAACGCCTCATTCAGTATCACTCTGTGCATATGATGAATTGGTGGACATGTGTAGGGCTGGTGATCGAATAGAGGTCACTGGTATCTTCCGATCCAACCCAGTTCGAGTTAACCCGCGACAGCGAAGCACAAAAGCGCTTTTCAAGACTTATGTTGATGTTTTGCATGTTCAAAAGATGGACAAGAAGAAGCTTGGAATTGATGCGTCAACAGTGGAGCAGGAACTCTCAGAAAATCTTTCCCGGGAAGTCGACCAAGTGCGGAAGATTTCACAGGAAGAAGAAGAGAAAATCAAGCAAACTGCAGCTCGGCCAGACGTTTATGAATTGCTGGCTCGGTCGTTGGCCCCCAGCATTTACGAGATGGAAGATGTTAAGAAGGGCATCCTCTTACAGCTTTTTGGAGGGACAAACAAGACTTTCGAAAAGGGCGGAAACCCCAGATACCGAGGAGATATTAATGTTCTGCTCTGTGGAGACCCTTCAACATCGAAGTCACAGCTGCTTAAGTATGTGCATAAGATTGCACCTCGAGGCATATATACCAGCGGCAAGGGTTCGTCTGCAGTCGGTTTAACAGCCTATGTGACTCGAGATCCGGAATCCAAACAGCTGGTGTTAGAGTCTGGTGCACTGGTCCTGTCCGATGGGGGAGTTTGTTGTATCGATGAATTCGATAAGATGAACGACGCTACCCGATCAGTTCTCCATGAAGTCATGGAACAACAGACAGTGTCCATTGCAAAGGCTGGCATTATCACCACCTTGAACGCAAGAACTAGTATTCTTGCCTCAGCCAATCCAATTGGAAGCAAATACAACCCCAATCTCTCTGTACCCCAGAATATCGACTTACCCCCCACTCTTCTTTCCCGATTCGACTTGGTGTACCTTGTCCTCGACCGCGTGGACGAGCAGAACGATCGTCGCTTGGCAAAACATATGGTAGGGATGTACCTAGAAGATGCGCCTGAGACAGGCTCGTCTGAGGAGATATTGGTAAGATTCGACCCTTCCCCGTCCAAATAATACGTGAAACGTGTGCTAATTTAGTCGCTAGCCCATTGAATTCCTTACCAGTTACATCACTTATGCAAAGACACGCATTTCGCCCAAGCTCACCCCCGCTGCAGGCGCGGCGCTTACAGATGCATATGTTGCTATGCGTAAGCTAGGAGATGACATCCGAGCAGCGGAACGCCGTATCACTGCTACTACACGCCAACTGGAGTCTATGATCCGTCTCTCCGAGGCTCATGCAAGAATGAGGCTCTCTGAAGAAGTAACGGCCGACGATGTCGAAGAAGCAGTCAGACTTATCCGATCTGCCCTGAAGCAAGCTGCTACAGATGCTCGCACAGGCCTAATTGATATGAGCCTACTGACAGAAGGCACAACTGCACGAGAGCGAAGATTGCGAGATGACATGAAAAAGGCCATCCTGGCAATAGTGGACGAGCTTGGCGGACGCGGTACAGGGGCTCGATGGGCTGATGTGCTGAGGAAGCTGAACGAAGGCACCGTCCCTGTCGAAGGGGCTGAGTTTATGGAGGCTGTTAAGTCGCTTGAGACCGAAGGCCTGGTCAATGTTGTTGGCGAGGGTGCCAGGCGGACCATCCGCCGTGTCTTGGGGACTATCTAGACCATAGCGTAGACGATATCTTTTACTATGTTGCACCCTTCCATATCCCAGCAACAACCGACATCTCTCTTTTAGAGTCTTTTAGTACTATTCTGTATATACTCTGTAGACGCCCTGTACACGCGCATGAGTGCTTACTAATCATGATTGACGTCAAGTTAACCTCGGATAAACTATGGCCCGTGCCCGTCGGGCGGCAACCTTGTTTGCACGTGACCACAAGCCTTATGCCGATTGGTGGACATCACCTGACCCGCTTATCGCAGAAACTTCTTTTGCGTCTTCGTCGCTTTCGATTCGCCTCTTTTTTCGTGGTCTCGCCGGATTCGCTGCACGATCTCGTGTTGAGTCGTCCCGTCTGTGGGGACTTTTACCTGCGAAGAGCTAGGTAAGCTTGGTGCAATCAACCAAGCGCAAGGTATCCTAGTGTTAACGCGCAGGCGAGATGGCTCTCTCCTCTCCCCGGGACCTCCTCCTCCTCCTCCCGTCACTCTTCATCGCCGTGCCGTGCAGTCTTTCGTTGAGAATCCCCAATTCAGGAGAGCTCGTAGCCGTCAGTTCGAAACTACGATGAGGTACGTCTGCTCGGCTTTGCTGCCCTCTTCTCCCCGTATTTTAACGTTTCCTCCCCCCCAGCCGTCGCTCGGTGCTTGTTTTCCTTGGAAAGAGAGAAAAAGACGAGACGGAAGAAGAAGACCTGAATAGCTGATTGTATCTGATTTCCTTGACGATAGGTTCGGGCAGCAGCTGCGTTCGTCGCTGATTAAAGAGTACGCCTGGCATTACATTGCCTATGAGGACCTTAAAGATGCGTTGAAGACGCCATTTGAGACTGAACCGACGCCCGAAAACCCTTCGCCAAAACGCAAGCCATGGACCGAAGAGGATGAAAGACGGTTCGTTGCTCTGCTGGAAAGCGAGCTCGACAAAGTTTTTACCTTCCAGAAAGTGAAGAGCGATGAGATCGTTCGGCGCATCAAGGCCAGCGATAAAGAGGTGAGCGAGGTGGTTGGGCGACTGGACCAGGCCACCGCTGCTGGCGGGTCAGTGAGAAACCGACAGCCTCCTCCCTCCGACGATGACTTTTTGCTGCTCGAGGAAGACCTCAGTGATATTATTGCAGATGTCCATGATCTTGCAAAATATACCCAGCTGAACTACACTGGTTTCCAGAAGATTATCAAGAAGCATGATGTAAGTGTTTCTTTTTCCTAATTGGGCATGTTTTCCCATTTGCTGATAAGTGGGCCAACGTTGAATAGAAACAAACCAGCTGGTGTCTCCGACCGGTTTTTGCTACTCGCCTGAGAGCAAAGCCATTCTTCAAGGACAATTACGATGCCTTTGTGGTCAAACTGTCCAAGCTGTATGATCTGGTCAGGACAAAAGGCCACCCTGTGGAGGGAGACAGCGCTGCTGGTGGGTCGCAACAGAATTTTGTTCGCCAAACCACCAAGTACTGGGTCCACCCAGACAACATCACAGAGCTCAAGCTTATCATCTTGAAGCATCTGCCCGTTCTTGTCTTCAATGCGTCAAAGGAATTCGAAGAAAGTGATGCTGCCATCTCTTCAATATACTATGATAATACCGATACCTGGGAACTCTATACCGGGCGATTGAAGAAGACAGAAGGAGCTGAAGCCATTCGCCTAAGATGGTACGGCGGAATGGAGAATGATCAAATCTTCGTTGAGCGTAAGACACATCGCGAGGACTGGACTGGAGAGAAGTCTGTCAAGGCTCGATTCCCGATTAAAGAGAAATACGTCAATGCCTATCTGGAAGGGCGTATGACCGTGGAATCTATCTTTGAAAAGGCACGCAAGGAAGGGAAGAAGAGCGAAAAGCAGATCGCGGACTGGGAACAGCTCGCTCGAGAGATCCAGTACCGTGTTATTACCCGACAACTCGTCCCCGTAAACAGATCGTTCTACCATCGAACCGCCTTCCAGCTTCCAGGTGACGCCAGAGTTCGTGTCTCCCTCGACACTGAACTGACTATGATCCGAGAAGACAACCTCGATGGCCGTCAACGATGTGGTCAGAACTGGCGCCGAATGGATATTGGAATCGACTACCCATTCAAACAGCTCCCCGCCGCAGATATTGAGCGGTTCCCTTACGCCGTGCTTGAAGTCAAGCTTCAGACCCAAGCCGGCCAAGAGCCTCCACAGTGGATTAAGGAGCTTACTTCAAGCCATCTAGTTGAGGCCATGCCCAAGTTTAGTAAATTCATTCATGGAACTGCAACCCTCATGCCAGATCGTATCAATCTGCTCCCCTTTTGGATGCCCCAGATGGACGTTGATATTCGCAAGCCCATCACTCCAGGATTTGGTATCGAACGTCCCGTTCAGTCTAACCAGTCAACCAGCGATGACATGCTAGAGAATGACGATTCTGACGATGAAGGTGGTATGCGGGTAGATGGTGCTGATGGAACTGCTCAGACAAATGGTGCTGCTGGCAATGGTATGCAGTACCATGACAGCCAGGCCAACGAGGCCAACGGATATACTGCAAATGAGACCAACAACATGGTTGCTCCTGGTAATCTGCTTGATATTGAAGAACGTATAGCCGCTGACGGCCTTCTTGGTGGCAATGACTTCCCCTTATATGACTCCGAGGATGAATCTAATGCTCAGGACGAGCTGGAGGAGGCCAGACAGGTTGGTGGCTTGCAGTACTACTATAAGCTTACCAAATATAACCTCAAGTCTGCTGGGCGCAATGCCATCCAGTTCTTGAGCTATCTCCGCCCGTTCCCCCAACCTACTGAGCTACCCGAAGGTGCTGGCGGTGGCCGCAACCGTCGTATTCTAGGAGATGACATCCAGGTTAAGAGGTTCAAAGCTCCCAAGGGCAAGAGTAAGTTGTTGCGAACCATCCGATTCTCTTGGATTTCTACTAACATCATTCCAGGAATCCATGTTCCAGTCCGAGTTGAGCCCAAGGTGTTCTTCGCCGTTGAACGTACGTTCCTCTCATGGCTTGAATTCTCTATCTGGGTGAGCGGCATTGCTCTCACGCTTCTCAACTTCGGGCACGATAAAATCAGCATCATCACTGCCTGGGCGTTCACCGTCATGGCCTGTCTACTCCTTGTCTACAGCTTCCTGTTATACATGTGGCGAGTCGATAAGATCCGTAAGCAGCGAGACGTCAAAAACGTGTATCATGAGAAATGGGGCCCAACTATCCTCTGTCTCGGGGTGATCGTCTCGGTCATCATTAACTTCTCTCTGAGAGCCAAAGCCGGCGGACTGTTCGGCCCTGGTGGAAGTGCCAACAACACCGGTACACTAGTGATTGCCAGTAGTAAGTAGTGGGCTTACCATTGGCATCTGATCAATCTATTCATACATATACAAGCATTGGATGATGATCTATGATGCATCTATATATGCTCACTGTCACAGTTCTATTGGAAAAGCGCCTCTATCTATTTCTGTACCCATATTTCCTGTTTCCTTTTGATTTGATACCTGTTGCCTATATAGCCTGACTTTGATGCTTGATGTTCATGTCTGTGTTTTGGTTTGATAATATTTCACTTATCGACTTTGGCGTTGACAGCGTATTTTGGATAGCAATAAAATAAAATTCGTCTTCTTACCAATTTTGTTCCAATACACATCATAAAAGTAATGATTTTTTTTTATTGCGAGGGGCAATCTAGATGGTGGAGTGTACAATAAGATTCAAGGTATAAAAATGAGCCAGATAGAGGGTCTACCTCCTTTTAATGCTAACGTCAATATTACCCAGGACCCATGCGGCAGTGAAGACTGCAAGCATAGCGCCGAAAATGCTCAATGGTTTTCTGAAGGCAGCGAGGAAAGGATAGTCGTATGTTACCTAATTGTCATGGTTAGTTTGGATACGCAAGCAAAGCCTATGATGGGGTGGGTGGGTGGACATACGATGATGAATCCATCCTTGGCCTCATCTCCAACCTTGGTAGTGGAGAGATTCAGGACAGTTCTACCCTTGGTATCTAAAAAGGTCTTGTAGTATGAAATTTCAGAGCGGATATGGTTGGGAATACCCAATCCGTCAAAAATCTCGTATTTGACATTCTCAGCTCCCTCGGGCAGAATGATTCTGATTTCCAAGTCCTGATACTGAACGCCCTCAGGGATCTTTGGCCCGTCAATGAAGGGCACTTTGAGAACGTAGGACTCGCCAGAGCCAGTTTTCTGTTTCCGCAAAACGCTGGAGAGTGGGTTGTTCCAGCCGATCTTGAAGCTGTACTTCCAATCGCCGAAGATGGGGTAACGTGGGCGTAAATCCAAGAGGCCGAGACGAGTCTCTGTAGCAGGTAGGAATCGGCTAGTCGAGACATTGCCGATGTCGTCAATGAAGTAAGGGTTGACAGACCCTGGAGCAAGGGGCACTCTGAGCAAGTTCAAAGCTACGCTCTGTGCGTTGTGGAACTGCTTCTTGGTCCATTCGACTCGGGAGAACTGTTTGGTCAGTTTGGCAGCGTCGTTTCTAAACCAGAATCGGTCTTCAGTGGCCATATTACCGCCCCAGTGGGATATCTCGATATCACGCTCGAGGCGAGTGCAGGTCACCACGGGTCGGGTGTACTCGTAGCGGACGGTGATGGGTGCACTGGTGCCTGGTTTGACTTCCATATCATACGGGCCATATGTAAAGGTGCTGCCTTCACGCTTAGGGTCCTCTTCGGACTTGAGAGTGGTAGGTCGAGTGTAGTCTGGAACATCTGTGCCACGGAACTTGACGGTCGTCTTCTGCTTGTTGGTGGTGTACGCGGACGGCACGAACTGCGGGAAGGTATAGGAGAGATATTGCTTGCCATCCTGTTCAATTGCAGCCAGAATAGGAGTAAGAGCGGATTGCAGATGGTATGACAGCGTCAGGGTCAGCTTTGCAGCCGGTTCGAGAGGTTGATGAAGGTGTATGATGAAGTATTGATGCGAGCTATAGCCAACTGTCAGGACCCTTTTCTTTTCGACCCTTTTCTCAATGGATAGCGGCTCACCTTGAAGGAACCTGCCGTGTCGACGTTACTGTGAACTTCTTCTTCTCTTCCGAGTCTTTCGGCCAGCCTTCGAGGCCGCCGACTTTGTTGATTGTGTCTGTTGGAAAGGCCACATAGTACTCTGACTGCGGCCGCTTGTCGACATTTTCAACCACAACGTTGATCGACTCCCGCACATAGCTCTTCTCCAAATTGATTATGCGCACTAGGTTGTTATTCCGGAAGACCTGCGGCGGCCTGAAGTTCTTCGGTAGGACCTGGATGGCGGGCTCTGTAGCTGTGGTGTTTGCGGCCGTCGCAGAGACGAGGCCGCACGAGAGCAGCAGCGCGGCGAGCAGCTTCATGGCGGCGACTGTGAGCGTCCAACGGCCACCTGAGGCCTGCCACTTATCAAGCGAATACTGTTGATGCTGGGTCGCTGTCGTTGTGTTGTCTCTTCTATAGTTGATATCGTCCAGTGAAGCTAACTTAGTAACTCTCCTAGTTAACTAGCTGGCTTCAAGTTGACACTAATTAACTGCGGCGCCGGGCAAACTCCGGTCGAAACACCAACAACCGAGCGGCCAGGGACGACAGCAGGGCGAAGATCAGTATAAAAGACCCGGCAATGCCGCAGGAAGCATCCGGACGAGAAGAAAAAGGTCTCTGATATGATCACTGGCTGGCCGTCTCGCTGCTCTACTCTGCCTCTGCCATGTCTACGCCCGTCTTGCGCGCCAGGAGTGCGCTCGCCCGCAGCTTTCTTAGAGCGCCGGCATGGAGGACTGCTCGTCAGTATAGCCGGCCGGCGCTGGCGGGGTTAAACAAGTTCCTGAAGGTGTCCGAGGAGGTCGAGGATGCGATTGCTACGGGGAAGCCTGTCGTTGCGCTGGAGACAACCATCTACACCCACGGTATGCCCCGGTTATGTGCTACAAGACGATGAGAGTATACTAACTGGTGGCGGTAGGATTCCCGTACCCTGATAATGTGGACCTTGCCATGCGTCTAGAGTCCATAGTGAGGTCGACAGGCGGCGTACCAGCTACCATCGGAGTTATCGACGGCGTTGCGCGCGTTGGAATGAACCAGACGGAGTTGACAGAGCTCGCGTCGACCTCGCAAAGGACAAAAGTGCACAAGGTATCCCGCCGGGACCTTGGATATATCTGTGGAGCTGTAAGGGTGGCCTTTCTACGCAGTGGTTATTTCCTGGCGTTGATGTTGACCATTCTCTTAGGGCATCCGGGGGAACCTGATGAACGGTGGAACCACGATTGCTGGAACTATGATTCTGGCTCATTTGGCGGGAATCAAGGTCTTTGCTACCGGAGGACTAGGTAGGCCATCTGCTTGACTATATACGTTGTTACAGAGCATTTCTAATACGAGTATAGGTGGTGTACACCGTGGAGGAGAAACTACCATGGATATCTCAGGTGAGATCCTCCAGATTCAGTATACAACGCCGATATACTGACATTGTACCAGCCGACCTCACTGAATTGGGACGTACACCAGTTGCTGTGGTTAGCTCTGGCTGTAAGAGCTTCCTAGACATCCAGCGAACTCTTGAGTATCTAGAGACCGAAGGTGTTGTTGTAGCTGCCTTCGCAGACGGACGCAAGGGAGATATTGATTTCCCAGCATTTTTCACTCGTGACAGTGGTATCAAAGCACCCAGAGTCATCGAGAATGCTCAAGATGCCGCTGCTATCATCTGTACGTCTTTGAATCCTATATCAAGTTTTCTCCATCTAACTTCTTTCTAGATGCTCAGTCACAGCTGCAGCTTAAGTCTGGAATGCTCTTCACCAATCCGGTGCCGGAAGAGCACTCGTTCCCCAAGCCAGAGATGGATGCTATCATCACTCGAGCTATTGAACTTGCCCATATTGAAGGCATCCAGGGGAGTGATAATACTCCTTACGTCTTGGCTAAGATTGAAGAGCTTAGTGGTGGACGTAGCGTGGCTACAAACAGAGCGCTTGTCGAATACAACGTAGAGGTCGGCACTAAAGTAGCTATCGAGCTTGCAAAGCTGGAATCAGAAAATGGCAAAGATGTGGATCGGTGAGCTGGCACTCCTTTAGTCTTTACTAGGGGCTACGAGGACTAGCAGGCTGATTGTTATGTTCGTTTTCTTATTAGATATAGCAGTGTAGCTGGCAATATACCAATAAATCAAGCTCATACCGAAGAGAGTCAAGATAGTCTCAGATCCTCTGTTGAATCTGCAGATACTCCTTCAACACTGGAGGTTGAACAAGAAGAGCCAGAACTGCTGGTAGCAGGCTCTCTTGCAGTTGACCTAGCCTGTGACTATACACCGCTATCAAATGGCACTTCAGATGGTTCACCCAAGCTACAGATCTCAAATCCTTCGGTTATAACCCAGACCCTAGGAGGTGTTGGACACAACGTAGCCCTTGCAGCAAGTTATATGGGGAGCTCCGTAATGTTCTGCAGCGTGGTTGCAGATGATATCAGCGGTCGAAGTGCCTTGGACACAATACAAGACACATACAACCCTTTCTTCCAGTCCGAGGGCATCCAGCTACTCCCGTCGACTCCCGACGCCAGAACAGCACAATACATAGCCGTCAACGATGCCAAAAAGGATTTAATGATCGCCATGGCAGATATGAGTATCCTCGAACTGCCCGAGAGCAAGCTGAACTTCCGGGCCTTCTGGGAACCATTGGTCAAGGATCAAGTGGTGCCGCCTTCATGGGCTGTTGTGGACGCAAACTGGGGATCTGAAGCTGCTACCGAATGGATACAGCTTTGCAGGCGCCAGGGTATCAAAATTGCGCTGGAGCCTGTGTCCGCACCAAAAGCCGCGAGGCTATTTTACCGACAGAATGATACCCCTAGTCATGTCCCGGTTATAAGGGCGACTGATATGGCTCCAGATAGCCATGTTATTGACCTCGCTGCTCCGAACCGGTATGAATTGGCAGCTATGCATGCTGCAGCGCGAGACACTGGCCACTTTGATAGCCCCGAGTGGTGGCGAATAATTGATGCCCTCCAGCTGCCCAGTAGCGGATCAAGGGCCCGTTTAATCTCACTTACAAACGCGGAGATTGTTAACGAGGGAATACCTCAGCAAACCATACAGCTTCTCCCATTGATACCATGCATACTGACCAAACTGGGTCCTCAGGGAGTGCTGTTGACTCAGAATCTATGGCCTGGGGACGAGCGACTGACCATGAAAGAATACGCTCCGTATATACTTGGTCGGGGACAGATAGACGATAGCCCTGTTGGAGGGGTTTATATGCGTTTATTCCCGCCAGAGGAAGCACTCTCGGATGGTGATATTGTCAGTGTCAACGGTGCAGGTGATACCCTTCTTGGTGTAGTTATGGCTGCTCTTGGAAGAGGCGGACGAGATCGCGATGTACGGGTAGAGGATGTGATCCCAATAGCGCAGAAAGCCAGTGTTATGACGATGAAGAGCAAGCATTCTGTGAGCCCTGAGATATCTCAACTCGCTCCGTTACTTGAGTCGTTGTAATTTTTCTCAATCGCTTGAAGATCCCGGAGTTTGTATTATAGATAATATGAAAAATATGTAATAATTTCGGCTCAATATGTCCAGGTAGCAGCTAGTGCCCTTTCAGCTACAAAAAAAATACATGCTATTAACAGATATAGTATGGCAACTCCCGTCCACTTACTCCTGTAAGATACTCCTCGCACTCTTACCATCGCTCACAGGTAACTGCCTAACACCGTGAAGACCATTAATACTATTTGTAACAGGATCGAACCTTGACGGTATATAGGTTCCATCCAGCAGCCCAACCTGGAGTAAAACACTTGCCTGATCCCAGTATACATTTTCATGACATATTTTTCCTCCCCGAAAGCTTACCACACTGACAACAGCTACTTCCACGGTCAGGTTCGTTGGTGGTATACCCGGGAGAATCCAGGGAATCTCTTGAGTGTGTTGGAAGGATAGATACATTTCGTCGACAAGATGGTCACTGCCTTTAGTCCGGGAGATAAGCCGAACCTGTAGTGAGGGTGGATTTCGGGGGATGAATTCTTCCTCAAAGAATCGACGAAGTTCATCATGGCCGATACCTAGAACAATGCACGTCATTTAAACTTGATTTCATTGAAGGTATAAAATATAAGGGGTATAAGTTGGGTATTCAGTTAAAGAGGAATTCTCAAGTATATGCTAACCTCCAGTACGAGTAGGGACGTAATTAATACGTGCCCCATCTGCATAAGAATCCAAAGTTCCTTCAAGGTCTTTGGACGCATACTTCATGAGAAGGTGTCTCTCCCATGTTGGTTCTAGGTCTGGGGTCATCTCGAATCCTTCTCTGAGACAGGATACAGTTCGTGACCAAGCTAGCCGTGCAGTAACTGGGTCATATTGTGGTAGATCGTGTTGGGCAAATCCCACCTCGGAGTTGGCGTAGACATAGCATCTCTCTTTGCCTAATTGTGCTTGCGGCCCAGCTAGATGTATCTTGAGCTTGAGGGATGAGATACTCCTGGATTCAAAGGCGGGTATATAAGTGGGATAGTATGCCACGACCGCACATAGTCTAGGCATTGGCTTCACACAAGCCTGCAGTACAAGAGATGCAGCTTCACCATACGCTGTGAAATATTGGAAATAGGACATACTCCATTAACATCCAGTAATCATCTCATATATGCACCGTAGAGTGTTCTGATGACCCACCGACTATAGCGTATCTGTTTCCGAACTCCATTGAGTCCTGCAAGCCCTGAAGCTGAGAATCGAACTTCTTGGGACTGTCGGTGTGTGGTAAAAATGCAGTATCAAAGCCTTCTTCTTTGAACTGATCGAATATCAAAGGATCGAACCCGACGCTGTCAGCAGCAATAACAATTTTCGGATTCGTTTCATCCCATGAAAAGCGAACTTCGCTATGATTTCCCGGCGGCTCGCTATATCGTGTCGAGTGCTTCTCCTGCAACGAATGGCGCCGTGGATGGAGAGCTTTCGCAGCGAGTGACTTCATGGTTGGCAGGTAGGATGTAGTGAGATTATTTGGTTGACGGGGGCTGAGAGGCTGGGGAAACAGATGCATCATGACTGCTTATGGGCTTTTGGATTCTGAGGGTCAGCTCAAGAATTTGGGGTAGACTCGTTCCATAACTAGTTGGAGGATATCAAGCTGAATCTTAGAGTTCGTATATCAACGTCATAGTTCCAGGGGCAAGGGTGTGGATATCCAAGGACAGTCAGTCAGCACAACCAGTCGACATATTGGCCAATTCTAGTGCCGAATCAACATCTAGAGACCAGGTGTTAAGCGAAACGGCCATATTTAGTATATTTGTCTGGATTTCGTCACATTCTGCTGCTCAGATAACAGTGGCAAGGGCCTACAAACCAGGAGACTGTCACCTCTTGAGGCGCTGAATGAATAGCTATTGTGTTTTAATAACGAGAATAGTGCCTCTATTACAAGAGACACATTCAGGAATTAGCTCGGGCATGCTTAACCTGCTCTCTCGATGTTATATATGGGCCGGTTGCACAGTATATGCAGATCTTCCGAGGTCACAGACATCTCAGCCACAATCAAATAGTCAGTGCTAGTTAAGTTGGTTAACTAGTTACCGATTGCTAGAGTGACTCGTGTACTCCATCATTGCATGAAAAGACATGATCCTACACCGGTAAGCAGTTAGTTAATAACCTGTATCAAAATGTGATGCACGAAACTGGCCATCCGCCACAGCCAGGAATAGGGCTTACCAGGCACCAGCCCAGGAACCAGCCAGCAGTAAACACTGCCAGTAACCAGTGCCTATCCAATCCGTAGCCGTAGCAGGGAACTCAGCAGTGAGCACCCCCTGAGAAACAGTGCATCAGTGTAAGCGCCGGCACCAACTGACAGCGGCTGTCCTGCAGAACCGGCCGTCCTCTCAGGCCGCTCCCCGGCCGCCCACCAGGCCCAACCTGAAGCCGCCAAGGTTTCACCAGGCGCCTTTGATGTCATCCCGGCCGCCTATGGAGGTTTTCTTTTTCCTATGGAGCCAGTATTTCGCTTGAACGCCGCAGGGTCTTTTTTTTTTTTTTTTTGCAGCGGGCAGGCCAATAACCGCTGGCATCTCCACCGACCATGCTTGCCACAGCGTGCCGTCGTACAGGCCGGTGGACACATCTCCATCATCGTCATGGCGGGCTCGAGGGATATGTATAAGAGGAGCCAGCTATCGTCCGGGTTGAGGTGCGGCGAGCCTTAACCTGCGGTCTCTGCGGTCTCGTTTTGGTGGTGATTTCCTTCTGCCCTGGATCCTTGGGCGTGTTTTATATTGTTTGTCCCTTCATCTCAGCCAGCGCAGACGAAGCACGACGAGGAGGACGAAAGAGACGTCTTCTTGCTGCTGGCCCGGTTCACAGTGACTGGAGGGTTCTTTGCTTGTCCTCTTCTCTGCTTCACTCTCATTTCTGCGTCCATTGAAATATCTTTATAGCTTCATCTCTTTCACCTAGACCCCAAAACCACCACCATGCGCAGCTAGCAACACCAGCAAACACGCCGATTCTCTCTTTACCAGCACTTCAAATTCGCTTCAGCAGCTTCATCCAGGCTTGTCTCCGCGAGAACCAGCAGGATGGCCGGCGTGGGAGACGCCATCGACCAGCAGAGCGGGACGGGGCAGCGCTCCAGCGGCATCTCGATCTCGACGTTTCTCGCCTCGCTCGCGACGGCCATCATCGTCTTCGCCGTCGAATTCGTGATCTTCCTCATCCTCAAGAGCAAGCTGACCAGAATCTAGTGAGTCTCTTCCTTGGTTTGCGTTTGTAGGCGTTGCTGGCTGGTGCTGGTGTGCTGGTTGCTAACGATGTTGACCTTCGCTATAGCCAACCGCGCACATATCTAGTCCCCGAGCGAGAGAGGACTGCCCCGTCGCCAGCTGGCCTGTTTCGATGGATTATTCCTGTATTCCGCACGTCGAACTCGGAGTTCATCAAGAAATGCGGCCTGGACGCCTACTTCTTCCTGCGTTATCTACGGATGCTGCTCAAGATCTTCATCCCGCTCTCGATCGTTATCCTTCCTATCCTTATCCCCATCAACAAGGTCGGCGGCAGAGACACAAGCCCCATAGACCCGCTGGACCATGGCTTTATGACTCGGTACAACGTTTCCGGGCTGGACCAGCTGGCATGGGGGAATGTCAGGCCCGAACACAGCCAGCGGTACTGGGCACACCTGATTCTCGCCGTCATCGTGGTCGTCTACGTCTGCGGCATCTTCTTCGACGAGTTCAGGGGCTATATACGCCTACGACAGTCTTATTTAACGTCTCCCCAGCACCGTCTGCGTGCGTCAGCCACTACGGTGCTGGTCACCTCTATCCCCAGCAGATGGTTATCAGTTGAAGCACTTGATTCTCTGTTCGACGTCTTCCCCGGAGGTGTCCGTAATATCTGGCTTAACCGGGACCTCGACCAGCTGAACGCGAAAATCAAGCTACGGAATCAGCTCGCCTTTACTCTCGAGTCTGCTCAGACTGAGCTGATCAAGAAATGCAAGCGAGCTCACTTGAAACAGATCAAGGCCGAGGCCAGGAAAGAAGGGAGGCAATCAAAGGAGACCAAGCAGCAAATCCAGGCTGAAAACGATCGCAGAACTGCTCAGCTCGTTGAAGGCGCTGGTGTCAGCTCTGGAGACCCTCACCAGACAGCCCACACTGTTCAGGATCTCCTCCACCCCAAACGTCACAAAGTGCAACAAGTCGGTGCTAAAGTAGGCCACACTGTCGTAGGTGGCTTGAAGAAGATTGGTGGAAGCGTCCATCGCCCAGGTGGCCACCACCCTGCAGATACCCAGGGTAACACGGAACCTGTCGCCGATGACGCGGATGTCAGACTCTCCAGCTCGTCTCAGCCCAATCCCAATCATCACCCCATGGGCATGGATGGGACCGTTTTTGACCGTCACGATGATGGTCGCCGGTTGACCTCGCCTAGTCCTGATGTCGGTGGCAGTCCAGCTCTTCCTGGTCCAGAACAAACCGGCAATGGCAAGAAAAAGGACGAATATGACGTCGACAAGGAGTATCCTGTGGCTTACAACGAAGAATACCAAGAGGACGACTATGGTGAGCCCGTCTGGAAGAAGTACATCCGTGAAAAGGATCGAGAGACCATGCGTCTGCCTATCTTTGGCTGGGACTGGATGCCCTCGCTCCCACTTCTAGGTAAGAAGGTCGACACCATATACCACTGTCGAAAGGAGCTTGCCCGATTGAATCTCGAAATCGAGATCGACCAACAGCATCCGGAGAAGTTTCCCCTAATGAATTCGGCCTTTGTGCAGTTCAACCACCAGGTTGCAGCTCATATGGCCTGCCAAAGTGTCAGCCATCATATCCCAAAACAAATGACTCCTCGCATGGTAGAAATCTCTCCCGATGACGTTATCTGGGACAATATGTCTATTAGATGGTGGGAGCGGTATATCAGAACCTTTGGTGTCATGGTAATTGTCGGAGCTATGGTTATCGGCTGGGCTTTCCCCGTTGCCTTCACTGGTCTCTTGTCACAGCTGTCGTACCTAGAGAACCATTTTTCATGGCTGCGATGGCTTGGAAAACTTCCACAGTGGTTGATATCTGCTATACAGGGAATTCTTCCTCCTCTTTTCCTCTCAATCCTGATGGCTCTCCTGCCTCTAGTTCTTCGATTCTTGTCACGGAATCAAGGAGTCCACACAGGCATGGCTATTGAACTCACTGTGCAAAACTACTATTTCGCCTTTCTCTTTGTCCAGATATTCCTTGTTGTCTCAATTTCTTCCGGCTTTTCAACCATAATCGACTCGCTGAAGAATGTCCTGAGTGTACCTGATCTCTTGGCGCAGAATATACCCAAGGCTAGCAACTATTTCTTCTCCTATATGGTCCTACAAGCCATGTCTGTGAGCGCTGGAGCGTTGGTTCAGATCTTTGCCTTGATCAGTTGGTTTATTCTTGCGCCTCTCCTCGATAATACTGCGAGGAAGAAGTGGGCGAGGGCAACCAATCTTAACCAAATGCAATGGGGCACTTTCTTCCCTGTTTACACCACTTTGGCGTCGATTGGTACGTTCTATTATCATTTAACACTTTGACTTGAAAAATCTGCTAACCTTCGACCAGGTTTGATTTACTGTATCATCTCGCCGTTGATCATGGTATTCAATGTGCTTACATTCAGTCTTTTCTGGGTTGTCTATCGGTACAACACTCTTTACGTTACCAAATTCCGTTTCGATACGGGCGGGTTGCTCTTCCCACGAGCTATAAATCAGCTCTTTACTGGTCTTTATGTCATGGAGATTTGCCTTATCGGAATGTTCTTCCTTGTCAGAGACGAGAAGAAAGAGGTTGCCTGTGAAGGCCAGGCTATCTGCATGATAATCGTCCTAATTCTTACTATTCTCTTCCAGTACTTCCTAAACGAAGCCTTCAATCCTTTATCACTCTACCTGCCCATCACCCTGGAGGATGAGGCCACCCAGCGTGACGAAGAGTTTGCTCGTGCCCAACGTCGCAGACGCGGAATTGAAGATGACGATGATGAGCTGGACAAGGATGGCCAGCGTGAGGATGGTGAAAAAGACGGCTCGATCGAACTCAGTGCTATGGGTAATAATCAACAGCAGGAGCCATCTTCTCCCTTCTTCCTCGGGTCCCGACTCAACCGCGTCAGCAGCTCACCAAAGGAGCAGAGGCGCAAATCTTGGGCGGACAGGTCATCGAACACCCGCTCACCGTTCTTCGGTGGACGCTCTGATCCTAGCATGCCAACTATCCGGGCTATACGCAAGAAACTTGCGATGGACACTGAATCACAAGCCCCAACAACGCATGCTATCGGCCAGTCCCTATTCTCGGGTATCCACGATGAACTTGAGGATCTAACACCCGAGGAGCGTGATCAGCTCGTACAGAGGGCATTCCAGCATGAGGCTCTTCGTATGAGACGCCCGGTCATCTGGATACCACGAGATGATATGGGCGTTAGTGACGATGAGATCTTCCGTACTCAGAGGCTCACAAAGCACATCTGGATTAGTAACGAGTACCAGGCGTTGGATGGCAAGTGTCGAGCCATATTTAGTCGAAGTCCTCCTGATTTCTCAGAGGTTGACCTCATTCAACTGTGATCTGCGATTAGCGAATGGGTGGTGTTTGTCTATCCTTTTTATTGCCTAGCATTTAAGCGTGTCCTTATATATTGCATACCCCTTTTCACCTAAGCTTCTTCCTAAAACTAGACCTCAGATTTCTATGTTTCTCTTTCCCGTCTCGGTTTCCCTTCTTCCTACACTATCCTTCTCTGCTAGCACAGAGCTCATAGTCACCATTCGTAATTGCTATAGAGACAATTAAAGAAAAATTTTTAAAAAAATCTTCCCACGCTTCCAGCCAGCTAACCGAGGTTCATACAAAATTCATAAATACTCAAACACGGTCTAAAACTTCCTAAGCCATTGCCTTGCCTCGTTGGCCTTTTCGTCAGATGCGTCAACGTCGTTCAGAAAGACAGCATATGCCTTTCGTTTCAAACTACGTCTGGCCACATCACAGTCGATCCGGATATCGTCAATCAAGGCTTCACGGCTAACGTAATCATACTCAGGTCGGATGTAGCCAAGAATAAGCAAGTTAAGAGCCGTTCCATAAAAATCAGGGAAATGATGAAATAGCGGACGTTGCCCGGATGTATCAGCAGCAATCGGAGACGACTCCATTGATAGATGAGGTAGGATGTGAATTTCCTGGGACTCAGTTAGCAATTAATAGTTAATCATGGCTGGAAGAAGTAACAGGATATGTATGCGTACCACTGAGCGGACAGTATTCTTGTAGAATGGGTTATAGCCGATGCTCAGTACGCAGGGAAAGATGTCAGTGCCAGTATGCACTGGCTCATCAGCGGCATCACTTTCAGTACGGGTATATTTGAACTGTGCCGGGTCCAGGGCCGCAACGCCGTAGTATACACCAAGCTGGAGGTCGGGATACTCTGACAGCGTCTCAGCGGGGATGTTTGCAGTAGGAATACCAAGCTACATGGCTAGTTAGCATTGTATCAAGAAGGCTGAGCTGTATGATCAAAATTCAGCGGGGTTTCGTTTGTATGGGATTAGCGGCCTCCTCCACGGGTATTTCCACAAAGCAAAGCTGATGATAGTGGCGCATATCAAAATGACAGACGGCAATACATAACAACAGCCAAAGCACCGGGCAGAAGCATAAGTGTGCAGGGCGTCTTCTCACCTCCTTGCTGCCTCTTCCGAAGCCCTTGATCACTGGCCCCGACATCCGGATGGGGAACGGGGACTCTGGCCCAGTATCGGGCCCGGCGAAGTCATCCCTTGGGCCGTCTGGTCGCATCCTGCTGCCTCGATCAGGGCACAAAGCGGCTATCCGAGCAGTGCTTAGTCTTCCGTACGGTCTCTCCCTTTTCCCCTCTTTCGTTTACCGATGTCTTCGTTTTCCTCTTGAACAGTTGTCGTTCTTCAGGCTTCAAGGTGCTTTTTATATCAAAATTCCCGTCATGTGATTCACATCCGGCCTGGACGGGACGGAGAGGACTTAGCTATCAAACAACTACGAAGAAGATGCAAAGAAGAGACGAAGACGAAGCAGAAACAGAATCTCAGTGATTTAAGCCGTCTATATGAGTAGCTGTGGCGACAAGGAGTGTTCTAAAAGATGTTCTTGATGAAGCCCCGGAGGCCGGATAGTCATTCGCCCTGCTTTGGCGGCTCCTCGCCCTCCTTATGCCCCTTGCCGACCATCGGCGGATACTCCTGGTCGTTGACCGTCTTCTTCGGCACGCAGGTACACCATTCGTCCTTGGGAACGCTGTCCAGGACGCTGGGGACGTGAAGACCGCATCCTCGCCACGTCTTCTGGGCTGTTCAAATCAGATAACCGTTAGCTAGTTGATGCCAGGCGCTGCCCCTCCCCCGCCGTCGTTCTCGTATTCTGGTGGCATTGCATGAAAGAGGAGTGAGAACGAACCGCAAACCTCACAGGTAGCTGGTCTACACATTGTCACTGCGGTGTGGCTTAGTATTATCGACGGGTTGCTGGCTGGCTTGCTAGGCTTTGATATAGCTCTGCTCTCTCAGTTAGCTGCGGTCTGAGATATGGTGCTAGTTCGGTAGTTAGTTACCTTTTTGCCGTAGAATTGATCGTGCTTCCTCTGGGCCGAGGGATCTGGGAAATATAAACTAAGGACGCGGCAGCTATAACTAATTACTTATATATCATTTGGTAGCCTCAATTCCAAGGTGATAGCTTCAAGCTAGTCGGCGACCTCGGGCTTCGTCGGTGTTGCGACTCCCTTGCGTAGCCGCAGGGGTGATGGGCTTGTTAAATACGGGCAACGAGGCAGGGAAGACATTTTTTTAAGAGATAGATTGGTTGGTTTTCTATGTATCTCCGTGGCGCTGGATGATCCCCAGCAAGGACCCTAAAAGCTTGGTTTGTTGGTTGGTTCGCCGTACGTTATTCCTAAGTCCAGGGTGAATCCCTCTGGCCGTGTCCCCGGCATCGATGCTGGGGATGGACGGGAAGGAAACACGGAGGAGAATAACGCATCCCCCCTCCAAGGGAAAGGCGGAAATATAGAGAGGATAAGTCATAAGAGAACAAAAGAGGAAAAAAAAAAGATGAAAAAAGAGGGACGGTTGGTCCGCTCTGTAAATGCCCAAAAGTGTGTGACGCCGTGTTTCCCCCAAGCTGTATGTTATACCCTCGTTCCGTTACACTCCATTTTCCTTCCTAACCGCCGTCATAATAATTGCAGCTGAATGAACGTGAGGTGAACGTAAAACAAGACAACAAATAAAACCGTTCCGAACTAGGTAGCTCGGATGAACCTTCATATGCATGGCAAAAACTAGTTGATGTCAGTCATGGCTCGAGATCTCAGCGGTTCTAAAAACAGACAACTTACATTCATCACAATAAGCATGGGGATGTCAAAGACATCCCGTTTAACAGTCCAGCAATAGCTGCATTCAACTTTTCCGTCACGAAAGCCAAGTTGGTTCATGCCAGCTTCACCAGCAATCTCACCTTTGCCCCACCGGCGTTGTCCTCGCCCGTTCGTAGTGGCTCCGTTGGTATGGCTGCCGTTGAGCTCGTTTGTCTCGTTACTGGTGGCTTCACCGTTCAGCCCAGCGTCAGCCTCGCCGTTGCTGCCGGCGAGAATATCACTCTCAGCCTTAGTTTTGTACTTGAGCAGCTTGCACGTCGTCATCACACTGCCACGAGAGTCACCGAAGGCAAGCTTGGCAAAGTCTTCGTAGAATTCAATCACACTGTCGTCGTCCAGCAGTTCGGCAAGAAAGACAGGTTGTGTGCGCGGCGTAGCTGTTGCACTGGAATTGTATACCTCGGAGCTGTAAGGCCTTGGTGTATAACTTCCTCGTGATGTCGAGCCTGTCATCAGACCAGAAGAGCCACCAGTGTTAACATTGTGGTTTGGCTCCTTGCCCAACAACACTTCTTTCTTCCAGCCAGTGAGGATGCTGAACTCTTTACCCACTGCAGCAATCTCGCCGGTTCGTCGACAGACTATCGTCGGAGTGCCACACGCGTTGATGAAGTCTTCGTACTCCCAGAGTGTGCGTTGGAAACATTTCTCCATGAATATCAGATCATCCCGATTTAGAGTTTTGGTAGTCGCAATAAATGACGGTCGAATGGATGCCAACGCTTTGGCAATACGCAATGTCTTCTGTGGAGAGAAACGGCGCTGGATGAATGCCGTTAAAGAATGGAATCCGCTAGTGTAGGAGTACGGGTCCTTGACACTGTCGTAAATAGACGACGCATTCTTATGTCTGCGCCTGCTGCCGAGGTTCAAATTTTGTTGCTTAAGTTGGGGCGTTGATACAACTGGCTGCTGCCTCTGCTGAGACACAGGTACGTTTTGCCTAGAGTTGAATGCCCCGGAATTTGTTGTGTCTTCAAATGTTGCTGAGCTGGTCGTCATCATCGGACTCTCGTTGGAAGCAGGGCTAGCAAAATTGGCCGGGGCGCTTTCAATGGCGAATGCATGCGGTTTGTCCGACATATTTCCCGCCACCAAGTTTGCATTTGAACCATACATACTCCTCCTATTGACAGGCGCAGTTTGTGTCCAGTCATTCATGCCAGATTCGCTAAACAAATAGGGAGCCTGGTTGCTAGGGCTCTCAGAAAAGCTGGATCCAGTGAGGCCGAATGTCCCGGAGCCATTTTGTCCAATTGAACCACGCTGGGCTCCGCTATCGCTAGGTGGTGTGTCACCTACCCCGGTCGCCATATGTCCCAGCATTCCGAATTCCAAAGCACCATAATGGTTCCCGAAATTCATGCTTGCGAGGTCAAAATTGAATAGCGCAGGATCGCTAGGATCAAAAAAGGTAGAATTAAACTGGCCCGGGGCAGGATTTGCGGCTGATGGTGTCTCACTTGTGGATTGCGGGAGGGACGGAGAAAGGCCCTGGGTTGATAATCCTTGACTTATTTGATACGTGGGCGAAACGGGTGACTGGGAGGCGTAATTATCAGGGCCTACTGTACTGTCCTGCAGTTCAGTCTTATTTTGGGGAAAGCCATTATAATCTGGTGACTGCTGGGTATTGTAAAAATTGGGAGAGGTTATCTGCTGAGGAGCGCCGGGCGAAGTATTGGATGCATTAACATTGTTCTGTGCCGTATTTCTCTGGTTATAGAGGGTTGCTCCCACTCCAGCCATCAATGCCTCATTTGGCGCATCATGAAGGTATTTGGCCTTCTTTCGTACTCCATCGTGGCAGGCATCTTGGAATCCGCGCTTGATACAACGCTGACATGGGCGCTCATCACCTAAATACAGTCAAAGAAAAAAAAAGAGAGGTTGGTTAGTTCTAGATATTTATGACAGCATAACGGTGCCTACATACCACAAGTAAGATGGCCCCTCTGGCAGGCGTAACAAGCTCGCTTGGCCTTTTTCCTCTTAGGCCTTGAAGGGTCCTTCGCCGCCTTTGCAGCCGAAGCTTTTTTCTCGGTCGCTATAGTATCGGTCATCTCCTCATTGCTCTGGATATATTGAGATGAAGCTTGCGCATTCTCACCATTGACGGTCATGTTGTCGGATTCCTGGCCAGTAGTTTGGTGCGGGGACATGGTATCTGAGCACTCCCGGGAGCTAGTCGTCATAATAAAAGCCTGCCGCTATAGCTATTTATATAATGTGGAGGCCCTAATTGGGGACGTAACGGCACGGCGCCTCCTCCCCCAAAGGAACAGGCACCAAAACGAAGGACGAGCGTGGATGAAACGCCGCCAACTCCGGAATCCAAGAAAACGTGTCTGTACGTCGGCGTGGTATTGCGTGTGAGTGGCCGGGGGGTATTATCAGAACAAACGGTGTGTGTGAGAGCGTGTGTGAGGGGACTCAGAAGCTGTGGTGGCGCTGTCAGGGAGGGAAGAAGGCTTTACTGTCCAACGAGCAGAGTCTGTGTGCTGAATATTTTTCTTTTTCGGGACGATCGATGCCCACGTTCAGTGGTCCAGGTCTTGTCAACTTTCCCCGTCCAAGTGTGATAGTCTACCGGGCGCGAGAAAGATGATTATTCCTCTTCAATTGTGAGTTTCAGGATGTGGGATCGCAGTACCACAACGACGGCCCTGGATTCAACTGGTCCAGGCGAAGCTTGGCTGGTTCGCTAATGCACGAGTAAAGGGTCAAGCTGAGGTTTCACAGCAGGGAAAAAAATAACGACGCCCTTTTTGGGAGGTATGAAGGTCGAGGAAGGGGCTGCTATGGATCACGCGGCCGTGGCGAGTATAGCTCGAGTTGGAGGTCGTGCGACGAACGCGAATGCAGCAAGCTGATTGAAGATATTTCAATCCAAACAGAGATCAGAGCTCAAAGTCCAATGACATGCTCGTGCCGGCTGGCGACAATTGAAGTCGTTGAACCAAGCTTGCAAAGCTGACACAGCGCACAGACCGCAGTATTGTAAAGTCGAACAATGCAAGTCAAGAGTCAGAAGGGGGTTTGTTGTTCGACTGGCGGAGTACACAGCAAGACTCGGCGCGGGGGTGTCGTTCGACCGAAGAGGGTACCTTTCTCATCCGCGTCGTATTTTCACGTATGCAAGGACGAGGCTGGCGGCTGAATCCTGTAAGTACAAGAGCGCGAGTGTCGGCCAGATCTGGGGTGTTGATGGGAGAATAACCGAAAGCTGGGGTTCTCAGCGATGTCTGAAGAGCGAGAGCCGGGCTGCAGCGTATAATGACCTTGGCATGGATACATCGAAACGAACGAGATAATATGGGACGTCAGCGAAGAATATATCGGCGTCTATTGTCGTGGTGGTGGTCGTTGATCGTTGATATTGGCGATGACAGGGCGAAAGTCGTGGAGAGAAGGAAGAGCCAAGAAGTTTCTTCCCAGTGGGGAAAAAACGTCGAATATGGTAGCAAACGGCAGTTGATAGGTTTTGCCTGTGACAACAACTATCACCAAGGTAAGGCGGATGATGACTGCCTGCAATAATGGGGGTCTCCCTAGAATCGGTTCGACTCTCGAGCCTATAAGAGCGTAGACCCAGTCAGCGTCAATTCGGCTTGAATCCTCTCTGCCCTTTACTTTTTCTCTCCCTTCTCTTCAGTCTTCCGAGGGCACTCCTTTTCGGGCTGGCTTCTTCTTTGGTCTTTGTGGAGGAATCCCCACCAATGTCCCCAGTGCTAATCGTCTCTAGCTAGCGACTTACGGCTAAAAGGCCGATGGGTTCCCCTCACGCGACTTCGTCTTCCTTCGTTTCTGAACGAGAGGAAGCCAGCACTCATATCCGTTGTGGTTGCAGGGCGTAGGACTCGACTTTTGCGCCAAGATGGAACGGCCGGCTTCGCTAAGTGAGAAAAGAAACGTACATCAGTCCTTTCTTTTTCCCAGTCTTTTTTTTAGGCTGCTCGCGCGAGGCAGGGGTTTTCCTGGTAAAGTGTATTGCTCTGCAGACGTCCCCGTCCAGAGGTTTGTATATCGACCAGCTAGCAAGGTCTTCTCAGATTTTCCTCGCCGTAATTTCACAGCACTGCAACCGTCCTCGGTTATGGACAAAAGTAAGTCTGAAGATGCAGATGTATCCCCCCCTTAAAATGTTTAACTCTATATGACTGCGGTGAAGCAGTGGTTGCATCATTGTGAAATGGGTCCGGGTTGGCCACCACAAATATACCTATAACTAGGCGCGATCCATTAAGGCGACCCAGACAGGAACACGTATTTGCTAGACATTCAAGGGCTTTTGTTAGCATCGGCTATCCAATTGCCTAGGCTCAACAGCTTTCAATGGCCGAAAATGCCAACTGCACCGTCGCGCGAATTGGGAACATGTCTGATCACAGTAGTTCGTATTGATGCATCTGTTGGTTTTTGACCGGCTTCGTCAACAGGGTGCAAGTCGCGGTTCAACCATGCGGTCCGATCGACACAGCAATCTTTCCAGAGTAGTTATTTTCTCCCCCATGCAGCCTGCGGAACCTAGAATCCGCCCCCAGCGAGCGTATGCCACGCACCAACGGGGACTGCTCCAGAGTTAGCATCGAGAATCTCAGGCAAGAAGGTGAGAAAAGGGGAAAAATGCCTGGTTCACCCTGTTACATCACGGAAGTAAATCGGCGACCTGCCTATACCGGACGACGCTTTGACGAACCGAGCGTACAAGTTCCAATGCAGAGCCGATCCGCGGTAGAGATCGAACTGAGAGGTCACAACCAGCCAGCAACGGTACTGTGGCTGTCGTCAAAGGAGGGTTTGCTGCTATTCTTCAGAGTGTCAAAACGCCGCAGCGGACAAGAGGACCGGCTATGCGTCCATGGTCGCACACACCTTGCTCCCCCGGGTAACATGAACTCGTTCCCATGGGTCTTGTGCCGTCCCGGGATACAGACTCCTGGAGCGCTTTTGTTCCACAGATCGAGGCTTGTTCGTGTTTCTTGTGGAGATTCAAAGAATCGGAAAAAAAAAAAAAAATTGTCGATGGAAGTTGTTGAAGATGAAGCCTGACGTTGGAATTGCCCAAAGCGGCAACTCAGCACTTCACTTGCACAATCTGCCAATATTATATACCAAAATGCCACCATCAAAAATACCAAACACCTCACTAGCAATAGCCAGTGTCCATGGAGGCCTCTCAGTTCATACTAACTATTTATTTGGTTATGTTTTACGCCGTCTCTGTGACACAATCCCGCTAAAGAAGATGTTTGGGTAAGTATTGCCTATTGGCTGTGTGCTTTGGGGGCATTGACACTGATTTATCTCCTAGACATTGAAACCTGCGTCTTCACCAAATTCCCCTGCGTCTCTAGCCGTAGCTACCCAGTCCTCGCTGCTGTGTATTCCAGGATTCGAGGATTGAAATCGCGCATGCATATGTCGGTTGATATCCCCGGCCAAAGCGAGAAGCCAAAAGACCTGCTCGGTCCACCTGGGGTACAGGAGATGCATCTACAAAGCATCGTCATATCCCAGTTTGCTGGAGAGACCTTGCTGCTGCTTCATCCCACAATCGTTCTGGGAGGAGGCTGCCAAAGACCCTCACCTGCAGGGACTAGTGAAAGCAACATCAATTATATATCATCTGGCACTAAGAACGAGGGGGGTTCCATTTTCTTATGCGATCGTCACTGCTGTTCTGCAGGTAGCCTTGCTGAAAATTATCAAAATGTATTCGTTCTGACGAATAAAAGTGAAAGAAGGGTATCATCAGAGGGAGGGTAGCTGAAATCAGTAAAGAGACCCCCCCAGCAAGTTATTGCTTTTCCTTTATCAAGCAATTGTTGTTCTACCCTTCGCAAGGCCCATATGAGATGTTGGTAAGGTTCTACCAAAGACGAAAAAGTATCAATAGAGGGCTCATGTGTGTCTATGGGTCATCCCGGGCTACCGCTTCATAGGTATCCCGGTTCCAGGTGCCTGCGTTGCGTCATGCTTTGAAATAGGCCGAAAGCTGAGATTCGGCACATCTTCGGGAATTAGCGGCGGCTGACACGGGCTACCAGGTGAAAGATCTAGAATTTTTGACGCTGTAGTCCAGCATCGTTCACTCTGGCTGGCTAGAAGCCCATCTTGGTAAATGGTTTTCGTGAAAGGGCTGATATTTCCTGGATCCTCAAACTTGAGACTGAATCGCTGATTGGTGGATGCATCCTCAAGCCTTTCTTTCGGAGGCTGATAGATGTAGGTATTTCAAGGCTGATGCACTAATGCGATCGATAAGGGTGTGCACTGCCCGGAGATTTAGCTGCTGGTTTTAGATTCACCGCTGATGTCGGAGTTGACCCAATTCAAGCTGCACTACTATGTCAGCCGACTAGGCCCCGTACAACGTCGCTTCACACTTTGGGTCTTTTAATTCACACCCATGGATCAGACTTACCGCTTCAAAATAAAATAACCAACGACAGCCATCACATAGTAATATGTAAGTTTCATCCGTTATGGCTTCTGAGGGTTTCACAAATTTTGACAATTTTTAAGGAAACCCAGCCTTTTGATTCTACACCACCCCTTCTGCACCATTTAGTCCAATAACGGGATATTTCGGTACCGGCAAGGCAACATGCTACTTTCCAGCAATAAAATTTCAAGTTTACCGTTAGCGTACCGTACACTTTGACCAGTTAACTGACATGTAGGGTCCAATTTTCTAGTCAAGTAATGAGCATGAGAGCGGAAACATTCAGAGGAATATCATTCCTAATGCCTATGAATTCCCATAATTTAATTATACACAGACAATTTGCCCGCAAACTCCGTCATAGACATCAGCATGATATGGATGATCTTATTGCCCCATTTTTCCCGGCGGGTGTGCGGTTTATTCGTACAAAGGCATGGAGCTAACCTAGCGGAAACTGTTCGGAAGAGTATCGTCAGCAGAAATGAAACTGATATACGGAGATGTTTACCATACTTCTCCAGGAGTTCACTAAAGTAAGACTTCTTTCCAGGTTTTCTCTCCATAAAGCTATAATCTTCGTTATTCCGGTTTTCCGGAACAGGATGTCCCTGGTCATATCCATACTCCCTTTCTCCAGCTTTCTTCTGGTCGGCGAGGCTCGTGAACGGTTCGAATTGGGATTTTTCGCTGTGCCCATGATGCATCCTACTGGATATTGTCTCGGTGATTGGCTTTGGCTCAGAGTCTGTCCCTTCAGGCCTCGAGACGACCCCTTCTTGACTTCGAATTCCCGAGTCTCCGGGCTTGGTTGGGCCTGACATGATGAAGGTTTTTATGCTGATTGCAACACGATATACCCAAGACCAAATACAGTATTGACTGATATCATACAATGATTATTTTACCCTGAGTGTGGTTCAAATGTGTATAACCTTTATATATGCCTTGGTCTCAACTAAAATACCCTATGATGTCATTGCAAGTACCTACTAACGTCATATCAGATTGGCCATTGGTTGAAAGAACAAGTATCTTAGCAAGGAAACAACACGGACTCCCGGAGTATATATACAAAATACACTGTTCAAAATTAGTGACAGGCTACCTCAATGTACAAACACCTCTATGTGAAATCACTGGACGGGTAATCACCTTGGGAGCCAGTTATCGGTAATTAAGTTATAAACATACATTCAGTCAACCAGAACCTGATTTGTTTTAATTCTATATTTGCCAACAGTCTATTACCAATAGCCGTGTATTCAAAAACACAATCCTATGCTCTCAATAGTAATGCTATATCTTAACATCGTCAATGGGAGGATTTTAGGTTGTGGGTCTTACCAGAGCAGTTCTAACAAACTCCTGTAACTACTTAAGCGCTGCCCCACTTCCCGGCGCTTAGCTGAGGAGGCTCGCGAAGTTGATGCCCCCAATTTTCCCATCCAACAGTGTCATCAGTTAGGATCTGAAAGAGTCGCGGTACTATATGCATATCCTTTTTACTACGGTCTGTAATGTAATCAAATTTCTCCTGAAATTCTGAATATTCAAGCCACAGATCAAACGAAAATACTCAAGTACAAAGCTGACCCTTAATACTACGTAACACTCTGCCCGCAAGTCGATATAATCAAATACCCGTGATATGAATTTATTATAGAAAAATAGGCGTTATTGATACAATTAAATCTAGTAGCGCTTTCAACTGAATACTTGTAGTACCGGAAATGATGGTTAAAGTTGGTATCGCGATGAGCCACTAGGTGGTGGCTCCTATGCAACATCTGAGGCATTATTCATAAGGGTTCATCATATTTTAGGGTTGTTGGTGTATACAAAAAATTCTATCTCCTTTCATGCTGGCTGAAAATATAGCATAACCACAGTGGTTGGCAATGTAATATCAAACTACACACCAGATAGTGACATCCTCAACTCCATATTCAAAATCGATTGTCCTTGGTAGCTGCTGCAGCCGGACATGATACCTCATTGACAATTTGAAGGTAGGAAGCCAGATGGTCTTTCTCGGTCTTTGGATCATCAAGGTGTACGTATATGCGTTCCTTGGTACCGTGGTGTCGATGTCTGCGACGTCGCTTCTTGTGAACTGGCTTCCACCCATGGACACGGACAGCATACATCGTATAAAACGTGAAAAATAGGTGATATAGCCTAAGATAGAACGTGAGCATCCCGCTTGTATCAATTTAGATAATGACGCGTACCCGCATGTGCAAGAAAAAATGATAGCAGCTAGCTCTAGGGAGCCAAGTCTGTATAGCTCTGGGAAACAGGGTCGGGTGAATTTGTTTTCTTGGTTGCAGACAATGTCGAGAACATCAGGGGGGAGTGGAGTCCAGAGCAAAAAGGCTGAGCCTAAGGCGGACAAGGCTATAGTTGGGACCAGCCCAATCAAAACTGTCATGTCGAGTGCTAGCTGCACGGCAAGAAGGGGGGAATGCCTTCGTATGACGGTGTAGTATACAATGTAAATAGAGGACAGGATGGAAATCCCAAGCTAGAACTTCTCAGTACAGTGGTCAGGAGATCGTGGATGAATAAAAAGAGAGTCGCCATACCGGTAAAATTGGTATTCCATCTTTCCATCTTCCCTTCACTGGGGATATTGAGGGAACGGGGACATCTTCGTTGATACGCAAACACCCCGCAAAAAAGCCCACGGCAATAAGAGAAAAGACCGTACAGGATGAACGGAAAACCAGTTCCTGGAGATATTGGGGATGAAGCTTCATCAAATGCCGTATCGCTGAAGACATGGTGCTTAGATCTTGATACAGTGGGGAGTCCAGCTCCGAAATGGAAGCACGTTGGGGTATAGATAAAACAAAAACCCAGTGAAAGAGAGTAGCAGTGACCAGCACCTTTAGAAATGAGCTTTCGCAGTAGGGGGGAAGATGAAGAGATGCATGGCCACTATCACCTTCAAGTGGTGGGTGGTGAGTTGATATATTCGAAAAAGGAGACGGCGAGTGTGAAAAGAGAGGTCAAGAAGATGTCCCTCTTTTCCTTCCCTGTAAAGTCGGGACCCATCACGGCGCGTCCCTCACATCGATCAACGCCGTGATACGAGCCAGTTTGCACATCGACTGCTTCATCTGGCGCGCACCGATGAGCAACGAGTGGCAACGGATGCCTCTTTGCTGAACCTTCCTTGGTCGATACTTTTAATAGTTGAAGACGCCTCGCCGCCGGAACTATTCATCCGGGGTTCGAGTGGGGTGGATGTTTCAAGGCCTGCATTCGGCCAGGATGCGATGGCCAGTGGTAGGATATCAGAATGCAAATGATGGTGCAAACATGAAACACATCAGAATTTTCCCCATACAGCCACGGCCAAGATGGGGACGAGCGGCATGCGGAAGAAAAATGACTTCATGGGATAAAAATAAACCGGTGAAAAGATTTTCCAAAATGCGCTGTTGAGACAAAATATATTACTATGCTTGCTAGTTACTCAGTACAAAGTGGTTATCACAAAAAAACACAACCGCGCGGCCAAAGATATCCCCAACTGTGTCTGTTTCTCAACCGCCCCCCAAAGAAACCCCCTTCCGTACCTTAGCCTTTGCTATAACTCCTATACGCCGATTGGGTTCAGTACACGCATAGGCGGCGCGAAACGCCTGCTCTGGGCCTTCGTAAAATCTGTCCAAAGGAAGGTTTCCAAAATGGCAGCAGAACATTCAAACAGACATATACCCAGGAAGAAACAAGGGAAAACAAAATATGTAATGACAAAACACCAACATTTACTCTTCATGTAACCCAGAACGTGCTTATGGAATGAGGTTTTGAGAGGAGCCGGGGATAGGGGTGCGTGGGTTCAAAAATTGATAAGAGTTCATATCCATTACAATAACTTGGCAAACTCATGCGGCCGCGACCTCTTGAGGCGCAATCTCGCCGCCAGCTTCAGTTTCTGCCCAGTCGCCCCAGAGGCCTTGTTTTGCTTTAATCCGTAATCTGCCTCCGAGATCTTTGCTGCTTTGCTCAACCCGGACTGCATCCTTCGTTGCAAGGACAAGGACTTCGAAGAACATCTTTGTAGCATCGGCTTTGCTTGTTTGAAGCTCGGGGAGTAGATCTTGGAATACAACGGCTTTGCCTTTTGTTGGTGATTCGGTGGATGGAGATTCGCCAAACTGCTCACGTAGAACGTGAACAGCGTGTTTCGTTCCCAAAGAAATTGGGCCAGTCTCAACCAGGCTGCTAAGTTCATCGTATTCTTCTGGGTGTTGACCGAGGCCTTCATCTTCGCTGAAATGGTCATCTCCAGATCGGGGGTGGGCATGTTCTTCATCTTCGGGAACCTGGATTTCTGGCTGTAGGTTCAAGGTGGTATCTTCTCCTAGGATTGGCCCTTCGTCTGGTTGTAATAGAGTTTCTTCTCCCTCAATATCAAGTCGAGGAACCTTGGCACCAGCGTCAATGTCCATATCGGCAATTCCACTGTCTCTCTTTCGTTTCAAGTCACCTGCTTTTCTAACGGATTCAATTGACAGCATTCCACGAAGTTCTGGTGCCCAGTTGCCAGTGTTTGCACCCCCCATGACATTAGAAACGAAAGAACCGTTCTTTTGCATCATCATCAGGCTAAGGAGAACAGGATCCCGGGGAAGAATTGATTCACCTATCAAAATCTTTGATCGGTCTTCCTGTTGTTCTTTGATCTGAGCACTAGAGAGAACAGTGTCAGCGTCTGGCATAATCACTCTTCTTCGCTTAACTCTCTGGTGATGTCGAATGGCTCCTTCATTCGCAAACGTTTCGTCCAAATCACGGACAACACTAGAGCGCACAGATGAAAGTGGCGAGCCTGATCGATCGCGGGTGAAGTCACTGGTAAGCGGGGGGATGACAGTCGAGTCCTCTTCGATGGGCATGCCAAGTTCTCCATCAATGCCGCCCATTGGTATATCATCATCCATATGGATGGCATTGTCAATATCATGAGTAACATCCGCGTCGGGTCCCTTCCCAAGAGGGGCGCCATCTTCCCCGAGATCAAGATTGAGATCCCCATCATATAAGCGGTTGTCGTCGCTAAACAGATCTTCACCAACAGGACGTGGGGCTGGAGCCTCTCGACCGACTTCAATGCTTGTGTCGTGGCCAAGTGGGATATCCTCGTCTTCACCGAGATCCAAAATTAGGCCAGTATCATCCTCAAGGTGTGGTTTTTCCACGGGTCTAACTGTTTGAGGGGTGCTATCTGGGAGTAGCTGGCTAGACCAGCCAAGGGACGAGGCGGGTCTCTTCGGATCATGTTCTACCTGTGCTGGTTGCGTGAATAGAATGGAAGGGTCCAAGTTCATGAAAAGGTCTGACTCCGTCAGAACGTCTGGGAGGGTGATTCCTCCAGCCGGCAGGGGTGCAGTGGTAGGAAGATCGTTGTTATTAGTTAGACGAAAAGCCTATAGGAAAGGTAATCAGCATCGGCTTTCTCAAAAGCGAGTCAATATTAGGACATACCATTTTAATTTTCATCAAAGCTTCGTTGCAGTCGTCCAGGAGATATCTAGTTTTGCGGCTGTATATTCTAACGACTCCCAACAAAAGCTGGCCGCTAAGACGAAGCGCCATGGGTGCTTGACCCTGATCAACGATAGCATTGACACTGCTTTCGATGTCTGACTGGAGGATGTGTGATTTTGAGAGTTTTCGTTCAAGGTTGGCTGACAGCCAAACGCGGGCCAACGGCCCTGTTTTGGACAGCAGCGTCTCTGAGTAAAACATTGTGCTGAGTTTGGCAACGGAATGCCACGGCTAGTCTATATATTGCAGCAATATATCC